TCTTTGCAATCGTGGGTAGTTCCTAATGCTTAATTTGAATCATTTGGTTGATAATTTGCTAGATTCTTTTGGTTAGGAGGCTTGTTTGAAAGGCAAAACCGTGGTTGAGTTTTGAATTGGCCCTTTGGAGCGCGGTAAGTGTCGTGGTTAACCTTGACTTGAGGGTTTAAGACTTATTTGTCTATTTGCAACGTGTTTAGATGTTGGGTACAACGTATATGTGAGGTGACAAGTACTTATGCGTTGTTATCGGGTTAAAGCATGTGGGTGGGACTTATTTCTAGCAATTATTGTTTCCTTTGATCATGTTATCCATGCTTAGACTAGTTATTTGTTAAATTGATCGTTCGTATTCCATTTATGGGCTTTTATGATAATTGAGTATTGATTCGAAGTTGAGATTGGTATTGTGGAACCGTTATTGAAGTAAGGCTTGTACTTGTTGATCCTATATCCCTATTATTTCTTGTTCATTGTTATGTGGTAAGGGATAGTGTTAATGCACGAAGGGTAATGCCATGCCGTATGTGAGTGTTAATGCACGAAGGGTGATGTCATGCCATGTTATGAGAGTTAATGCACGAAGAGTGATGTCGTGTCGTTTCTATTAAATTATACTGTGAGTGAGAGTAAAAGCACGAAGGGTGGTGTCGTGCAGTATCATTGTTTCATTGTGTGGTTGAGAGTAATAGCACGAAGTTGTGATGCCATGCAATCTTCTTCACTATGTTTAATTGTTTTTACGGGTTAAAGGTATATTGACTGTTCTGGTTATCATTCCGTTGTATCTCTTGTATCTTGTATCCCCCTTATCATGTCCCCCTCCTGATATTACATGTCTAGCTTTTATTTGTTGTTATCTTGTACAGATACTGTTATCTGCACAACTTTATCACGTAGGTTTCCTGTCATAGCCTCGTCACTACTTCGTCGAGGTTAGGCTCGACACTTACGAGTACATGGGGTCAGTTGTACTCATACTACACTATGTACTTCTTGTGCAGATTTTTGTACCGGCCCTAGCTGTCCGTGAGTTGGAGCAGCTTGGATCTTCTTATTCGGAGACTCGAGGTAGAACTGTTGGCGTCCACAGACCTTGAAGTCCCCCTCCATTTTCTTATTTTACTATTTCTTTTCTTTCAAAACAGTTGTATTTCTTTCAGACTTTATTTGTAGTAAAATCTAGAAGCTCGTGAGTTGTGACTCCAGATCCTCATTATAGTAGATATTGGGCTTTTATGTTATTCCGCACTTGATTTTATTTCATTTTTGGTTTAATTGATTTTATCTGTTGAAATTGAAAGAAATCGACTAAACGATTCTCCACCGTTGGCTTGCCTAGCAAGTGAAATGTTAGGTGCCATCACGGTCCCGAAGGTAGGAATTCTGGGTCGTGACGCTAATTTTTTGGAGGATTTTTCAGAAATGTCTATTGTTTAGTGGCTATTAACTTGTTATAGCTACCATATACATAATTACTTTCTGTAACTACCTTTCAGTTGTTATGCTAATGTATTTGATGTATTCGAGCAACTGTATTCATGAATACAACAACAAAAATTGGCTAAAAACAGGGCAGTCCAGCTGTTAGCCGCTGTATTCACATGTATTCATGAATACAATGTAATAATAGGTCTCTTCAGTTGTTTAATAACAGAAAGCTGCTAATTTAACGGGATACACTCATAATATAACTCACCTAAATCAATTATAACACATAACATTATCAATCCAATTAGTGAGAAGATTTATCAGACGCTAAAAACTAAAAATATCTACAAATATCTGTAACCGTGCTAGCAATAAACTGCCCTGTGTGACGTGAATTAATTATTCTATGAGCGATAATGCACTTTTGCATTATCCAATCCTCATCAATTCAATGACTGGTAACAGTAAGATAATCACAGTCATTACCACTTCTACCAATATCAATAGTAATAGCAACACGACAATTAATATGAGTAAATAAATAGCGCAAATCACTACAAGAAAAAGGGCCTATAGCGAGGGGAAAAGTGGTCGTTAGAAGTCCAACTCCGGTCGTTATAAGCTTGTAGCGACCGGAGAAAATCCGGTCGTCACCGGTCATTAAAAGCCTTGACGTTAAAAGTTAACGACCGAACTGTAAGTCGGTCGTTAAAGATCCTTTAGCGACAACTTAAATTCCGGTCGTTGTATGTCTTTTTAGCGACAGATTTTCCTTTCGCTAAATTGTCATCCCGGTCGTTAAAAATTTTTATGGGAGCAACAAATTTGGTCGTTACAGGTACTTTTAATGCCCAAATTTTCCTTCGCTAATGAGAAGTCTTACTAAATATAATTATTAAACTTTATTTTACTGAATATAAAATAATTATTTTATATGCTTTCATATACATACGACACAATCAAAACTATATTAAATAATCAATATTCATATGAAACTTCATCATTGATACAAAGAACTAAACAATAATAAAACCCTCCAAATTGTATGACATTATTTTAACAAATCCTAAAAAGAGAAAAAAATGCATTCAATGTACATAAAACGTCTTTAAACCACCCCAACAAAATAAATTTCTTGTATTTCAACTTTTTGCTCTGCACTTTTTGAAGGATTGATACTTCGAACTTCCAAATTCTTGATCTGCTACACTTTACTCGTGTATGACTTGTATTAGAACTACTAGATAATTTTGTTGCAGTCTAAAGAAATCTTTATTTGCAAAATTGCAACTAAAGATTATCACCAGATGATATCTCATGCTCAATTTTAGGTAAGCCTTCACGGTACTTTGACTTTACCAAACATGATCCTTGCAACTTGTTGGATTATGCCTTCAACATCACCATAACTTGAACAACCTTGAAAGTGTTAACTTTTGTTGAGAATCGAAGAAAACCTAGTATAACCTGAAAGAAATTGTTACGAAGAAGCAAATACCTCTCCATTAGAATTGGACTCTACGCGGTTACTGAGATGTAAATCTTCTAATATGAAGTAATATATGCATCGTAAAAAATGTACATCACTTAAAGACTTGAATCACAATTAGGTGATATGTTACTACAGTTAGCTGATGTATGAAAGAGTAAAGTTATATTGAGTACATAAAGTGTTTAGTAAGCAGTACATAAAGAATCGCACAATCAAGTGCTTTCACAGTGCAATCAAGTGTTTAGTAAGCAGTCCTCTTTGTGTTCATCAGCATTTAAAGAATTACACAATTTCTTTTGCAATGAACTGTCTAAGGAACTGTCAAATCTGATTCAAGTATGAAAAATAGGTGATTAGCCCATTCATATTTGTTGGAAGAGAAAAAATAGCTCATTCATCATCATAGCTCATTCATTATTTAAAGGAGCGCAAATTGTTAATTTAGTTTGTAAAAGAGCTGCTGAATCTGATATGATAGGCAAAATGTGGAAAATGGGAAGCAGATATAAAGTTCTCCAGAAATAGCATGCACTACTCCACTCCCATCAAGTATAACGTTTTCGGTTCAATTAACAAAACACAACTAAAAAACTATGAGACAACTAAAAACTATGAAAAAATTTAAATCAATTAACTCAAGATGACGACAAGCCATTGTTATATTACTGATAGTAGGCACTCTTCAGTTTACTCATGAATTTTTCTAAAGTAATTCTTCGAGCTTTAATTAATCCACTTCAGATTATATCCTACTTCTGCTCTTCCTCTTCTTATTGGTTTTACTTTACTGAACGTGATGAATATGCATAACTTTATAGTTCTCAATCTTTCTTAAATGTCACTCAAAACATTCTCCAGAGATCTACGTCAACAGAAATATTAAGCACAAGAGCATTTTATTCCATCACAAATGATCCCAAAAAAAGAGTATTTTATTCAATTATATGACAAGAAGTATCATAGAGATCAAATGCAGCAACTTAGAAAAAGAAAAGAATTATATGTGGAACAACTTACTCATTTGATCAGGATTCTTCTTCAATATACCCACTTCTTTCACTTTCTTCCTCTCTTTCTTGTTCTGGAAAAAATTTAAAAACAAAAATAAATAAATTCTACATAAACTCCACCTAATAACTTGTTACGGGATATTCAAACAAATAGCTCTTCGTAAGAACCATCCTTCAATTTTCCTTTTGTTTCAAACAGATGTCTCATAAGACTCAAAGTTTGTCTGCGTTAGGCTTGAAGTTTATGTCCACAAAAGCATATAACCAAAACAATTAATCTGAACCAACCTCTTTTCCTAATTTTCTTTTATATCATATTACAGATGATAAACGTATAGCCACTGCTAGATAATCGATCTTTCCTATCAGAGATTTAATCTCATAATTTCAGAGGAGTCCTATAATGAGGATAAAGCATATGAAGCCATTCAATATTTAAAACATTTAGAATGAGGATACATGAACATATATCTATAACAGTTCAAGTGCAAGAAAAAGGTCAATTAATATAAAGCAATCTACATGAGATTCTCCAATTATTTACAATAAAATGAATAAAAGTGAATCAGAGAGAGAAAATATCTTAACAATAAAAGATTACCCATCTTCTGTTGAGATTATTTATGACTAAATTCCATATGCTTTCCGAAGCAGACATTCTTTGCTGAAAATCCATTGAGCAAATCTGAAGCATAAGATCTTGGATGATCAGTTTAAATAAATTAAACACTTTGAGACATAACTTCTTAATTCCAAAACAACATGAGAGACATAAATTTCTTCTAATACTTTAACTATATGACAAGGGTATCACTATTTCTATTTGGATTTCCGAAGCAGCAATTACTTGGCAACAAAAGTATATAATATGGTATTATCTCTTTAAATCTGAAGTTTTGAACAGCAGAGCTTAAAACTTTGTTTGGAAAATTATAGGTTATTCCAACATAAGTTTCAGGTAAAGAATTTTAACTCACCCGTTCAGTTATATGCCTCCAAGAATCCAGCATCACAAGTAATAGCTCTCCTGTAGTTAAGTATTGCCATTTTCGTATTTCCTTGCTCATAGTACCCACTAGCTAAGTTGCCTGCAGAGAGGAGATCCAGGTGTTAATGTGTTATTTGGGTGTCCAAGCCGCACTGAAGGAAAAATAGGAAATTGCACTGAAGATGAAAACAGTGTCTTTCATAGTGCAATAAATCCTGCGCACAAACATCTTGATTAAAGACGTGTGCTGTTTAAACAGTCTCCCAGAGACAGGCAGCTTTATATTTGCATCATGAACTGAATTTAAGGCATGACTCCACGCTATTTAGCACTAGATTTTTAGTCTCGCGTGCCTACCATTTTACCACCAAGGCATCTTGAAAGTGAATCATATTCCATGAATATGATATCTATCTACTAAAACGAGGGCACTCACCAAAAGCCATGGCATAGTCTGGTCGTACTTGGAGCGCACGCTGATAACACACAATAGCCTCCTGAGGCATTCCCAAAGCCTGGAAAATGCAAAGAAGATGCTTGTATTTCTCCATATCCTCGTCCAGGCACTTGAAGCCACTAGACCCAATTAGCACAATGCATGAGGCTTACCTTGTATACATTTCCCAGATTCAGATACGCATCTGAGAAGTTCAGTTTTAGTTTGAGTGCTTCCTGGAGGAGATTTAACCACAAAAAGGGCATCAAACATGATTGCATTCAGATGCAAAACAAATCCAACATCAGGATCAGTAAATTCAAGTACACTATGATTTAAAGTTATTCATACCTTGTAGTATTGCAAAGCCCTGTTAAGATCACCTGCCTCCATAAAAAGGCCAGCAAGATTGGACCAAGCGATGGAAAATGTAGGTTGTATACGCAATGCTTCAACATAACAATTGTACGCCTAACCAAAAACTAAAAAGAAATACTCAAGGGACAAGGAACTCAACAGCATATAACTATCGAGAAAAGGGGAGAACGTGACACACAAAAGCATAATAACGAAATACGGCAATAGTCAATAAAATAAGCACACAAAATTTTCACAAAGCTGCACAAAGCAAGTTGAAATCCGGAATAAAAGAAGAACGCGGGACCATATGCTGCACCAACTCAGGTACAATAGGAAATCTATGTATAGCACTGAAGAACCCCCACCCCCCACCCCACCCCCACCCCTACAACACCCCCACCATCCTAAAGGCACTCATGAACTTAAATAGCCCATCTCAGGCAACAAAATAGAAGAGCACAAAGTGGATTGAAATCCTCTGTCTTACCTCTTGGACTAGACCTTGTGCTTTCATCAGATTGCCGAGATTGCTATGAGCATCAACCTAAAAGAATCATAGTCAGTAAAGAAAGTACAATTGCAAGACACACATAACTAATCTTTTATGAAGTTCAATTTTTTAGTACCAAACGTGCGAGAGCCTGAAGGCAACACTGGGCTGCCTCATTCAGCCTTCCTTTCCTCATATATGCGCTGGCTAAATTTGACCATGCATCCGCAAAATTGGGACAGATCTGCAACCAGACAATTTAAAGTCAAATTACCTAGCATAAACCTGGCCAACCATAAAAACCTTATAGGAGAAAGCTTAACCACATAAAAGGTTTTAGTTAATCAAAGATAATGAAAAGACAGAATGCAGAGAAATGGATATTTTAAAAAATTGCAACTTTTTGAAATAACATGAACTTGAGAGATGAAAGGAATTATAAGCAATAAGCTCCAAGGTTTGTGAATAAACTCAAGTGAATTAGACCTACAACCCCATTGTGACCTCCAAAACTGCCCGCATAACCTCAACCAAAAAGTTCTTTCAATACCCAACATAAAAGTAAAGGCAAGGATAACTGTCTAAGCTAGACATATGTTCCTTTACAAAGTTATCTATTCACAATTTCAACCTGCATTCTTCTGCATCATAGATTCAATAGTTATCACATGGTACCATTTAATTTCTTAAATGAATGATGTTGGTTACTCTATTCCAGATCACATATAAGCATTTGCTTGTAGTAAGAGACATAATTCTTTACTAGATCAATTATACATATGTTATTAAGATCGATGTGCCTTACGTCGTCGAGGGCATGATGTACAAATAGCACAACCGGTCACCTAAATTTGCGGGACTACGATAACATCATATCACAAATAAGATTTTTATCACTTATGATTTCCCATCACTCACATTTAATTCAATATGATATGATCTCGTACTGTTCAAGGCAAATTTTTTTTATCATAGTCCCACAAATCTAGGTGATTGGATGTAATAGTACATCACGTCCTCTTAAAATCTTAAAATTAAAAAATGACCTTTTTAGATCTCTTATATGTAAAATAAATCTCTCTTACGTGTAAAAGTAAATATCATTTTGTAACAAACATGTTTGTAAAGAACCACAAAATAAATTGACCCGGAAGTGCGCAATTTTTAGACAAAGGGATCAAACACCATGTGTTGATTAACTAGGGGTATTGGACACCTACATAAAAATCAGCTGAAAATGTCAAGACAGGTCGATGAATAATAACTTACAATCAAAAACAATCATTCACCTATCCTCACATTTCCTTGACCACCCAACTTGGATTTTACACCTACCAACCACCCTTCTCCCTCCGGTCTTTCTCTTGTGCGTCTCCACGTTCAAACCATGGGTGAGTCTTGACATTCACTTGCACTTGTTCAACTAATAAATTTTCATCGAGAGTACCATGAATGGATACGCTTAAGACTTACGACTTAATCACAACTCCAACAAACACCTTTAATCCAGTAATCTAACTTCTATATAAATAGCAGTTTATGTTCTCTTGGTTTATCTACAAAATCATGTTGACTTCCTTTCTATTACGAGCGGTCAAAAGGAAACTCTGTGTCATTTTCAGTCACTTTGAAGGGATGAGGGTGCTGGCCAGAGCAATAGAGATTCCACCTTAAAGTAAGAACGTTCCAGATTCCTCACCTGAAAAATGCAAAGAGAAAAAATGAGCAGTGTTTAGGCATCCATGTCACTCAAAACACCAGAAAGAAGAAGTAAATTTGATGTATTCGATCACTCACCCTGCGTGCTGTATCAAATAAAGGGCAGCTCATGTGCACAGCCTTTAGTCTATTTGTGAGATCTTAGAGCTTTGGACATAGTGCCAATGACACTGCCTTCTCCTCATATTCGTTCATACTGCAAAATGTAAAGTAAATCGAATATTGGACAATAATTCTTTATAAGAGATTGTGAAAAATTAAATAAAGTATAAAAAGCCATCACAATATTTGTTGCTACAAGTTGTGAACTGAAAACATAACAATTCAGTGAAGCAAAAACTCAAACACCAAGCTGATATCTAAAACCCAATAGATATACCTTTATATGGTAACACCCAAAACAATGCAAATCACTGTTAAGTTTTGGTCGTCAAAACCATTGCCTAATTTTCACGCATTGAGATTTATCCTTCTAAGGCTCTAAATTTTTTAGAACCCAACTGGAGAACCACTGAATCTTTTACTCAATACAAAGAAAAACAGAAGTCATGCCATGAAGGAGAAAGCAAGAGAAAAACACAAATGAAAAGCAGTAGAATAGATTGATAGAGATGATGATATGGTGATTATACATTAAAACTGACCATTCCGCAAATTCATATTTCTTAAGCCCAGATTAAAATAATCAAAAAATTCTTAAGCCCAAATTAAGATAATTGATATCGATCGTACAACAAATTCTTGATTCTAAACCGACCATGCCACAATTCTTGAACACCAACATCACCAAAGTGAAAACTAAATCTCAACCCTATTAATTTGAACCAAAAGTAATATATAAAAAAGATAAATTTTCAAATCTTACCTTGATGAGAAGAAACTCTAAGATGAGCAAATGTCGGCGGAGGTGAAAAAGGATTTTCTCTCCTCACACAAATTTTTGATAGCAGTTTTAGGTTTTGATCAGCAATAGACTAAGGGTCTTTTTGGAGGGGGAATTGGGCGGGCATAGGGTGAGTTTGGGGAAAAAGAGGGAAAGTATAGCGCCTATTTTTTTATTGATTAATTATAATTTTTACGACCGGATATTATGCTTTTTATGGATAGAACGTTATTATTTCGTTAATGTCAAATTAAAAATTATCTTTAACGATTGGAAAAAAGGTTGGTCGCTATAAATACGTCTATAACGACCGGATTCACGTCCCTTCGTTAAAAAATGATCGTTAAAAAGCAAATTTCTTGTAGTGAATATTGTTCATATTTATAAATATCGCTCTTTACGGTTGTGCGAGGCTATCCTTTATAAGTAGGATTAAAAAAATTCTAATATAATGCACAAAGTGAGGGTTAGAAGGAAAACTATAGGGTAAGCACATAACAGTAACCATTTTTTACCAATTCTTCCCTATCTTTTCTTTGATCATAATGTATAATACCACCGGTAACAGTGTTAATTTCCGGTTGAAATTGATTTGACCCGGTACTAGGGTCAGGCCGAGTAGGTACTGTGAGCACGTGATTTTTGCCCTATATGAATTGCTCCTATAAAATCAAAGAAAAATAGATTTTTTCCAATTATTTGCCATTTTATAAGATTTAGTAGGATTTTTATTAATTGTTTGCATTTTTGTGCATGTTTAAGTTTATTAAAATCATGAAAAATACCAAAAATATCACGCATGGCATTTAGGCTTTATTCTTACATTCTTAGGATCAACCGGTAGTTACTTGTTTTATAAAAATTGAAAATCAGAAAAAATTCTTCATTTTTACACTTTTTCCGTTTATTGATTTTTTCTCTTTTAATTTAGGATTAAGTAGCTTTTATAATTTTTGTAATTAGTTAATTAGTTTAATTTCACATTTTTAGATAACTTACGATTTTAACTTTAGGATTTTTAATTGAAGAAAAAGAAAAAGAAAAGATAAGAAAAAGAATTTGAAGAAAAGATTTAACTGGATATTGAGTTAGTTCTTGTACCATATTAGGCCTAAATTTTCCCAACTAGCCTAAATACACTTGAACCTATTAGCCCAAAACCCATACCCTTCCAATTAAAAGCTAGACCTAGACGATAGGATTAGGTTACACATAAGGGATGAGATTTTTCCATACAATAGACCCCTTCCCCTTAAAAACGGGCGCACCTGACCTTCTTCCTCCTCTCTCATTTTTCAGCAAACAACAGAACACCCATGGTGTTACCTTCTTCTTCCTTTCGCTGCACACGGAAATCCGTCACCCCTCACCTTCCTTGACCACGCAATTCACCCTCAGCAGTCCTCACAAACATACATGAGATAGTGAAGATCAAATCAAAAAAATAATTCAGAAAGCAAAGATCAGATTAAAAAAAAAAAAAAGAAGAAAAGAATTGAAAACCGATTTGGATTCTATTTTTCTGCTCTTCCCTCGAATTACTACTGTTTTTGGTCTTGTTCTGTTCGGATTTCGCTGGTTTGGGAGTTCTGGGTTTCATCCCTTGTTCTTGCTGCTGTCTTATGTTGCTGGGGATTTTGTTTATTTCACTACTGCCCAGGTACTTCCTTTGAACCCCGAATTGTTAGTTGGATAGGAAATGTGTCTATGATGGAAGATGCATGTGGATTTTGAATTTAATGAATTAGTTTTGTTCAGCTCGAA